CATTGAGACGACCCTTCTCCCCCCCCCCGAATGGGAGTAGATTGCCGAGAAAAATCCCGGAAAATCGAAGCTTATCGACCAATAGAAAATTCTTGACTCGAAAGATGATCGAGCGTTTTGCCGTGTCCTATTTAATTAATTTTTTTTAATAATAATAATTATACATTAGTCTAATTTTAATTTCTAAATTGATTCTGATCTTTAATTAACGCAAGAAATAAATTTTAATATGAAATATGATACACAATCATCCGACAAATGTCGAAATGTAATTAAATATAAATTAAACAGCTTCAGAAAAATGTTAATAGTTTTCTAAATATTATATTAAATATTTATTAAAAATAATATATGATCTAATAAAGATCAACTTTTTACTTTCATATTTGTCATTATTTCTGTTTTATGAACTCATTAATGCGAATATAATGTTTAGAAAGGAATTATATAATAAATATATAATAAAGTGATAGAAATTATAAAGAAATATAATAAACAGTAATTTTTTTCAAGTTTGCATTCTCATTAATTATGTTCCAAAATAATTCGAAATAACCATTATTTTTAAATGATTTTTTTGTTCTATTTGAACCATCCATTATTCTTCAAACATGACAAAGTGTATCTCGAAACTTTTTATTACGTGGCAAAATATGGAAATTTCCTGATACAAATTACTCATTTTATTAAAAGGTTATACGTGTACATAATTTTAATTTCTTAGATTTTGATAAGAATCGTATGTGAGGATGTATATAGACATAGTATTTATGTCATATTAATGTACGACGCACTATATGATTCATTTTGTAATATTTTTTATTATAAAAGTGGTATTTATTAATCATCTTCTTTGATCTACCTATATTATTGGCTAAATCCTTATACCTCTCTTATCTTCCGAAAAATCATATACGTATCATATAATACACGATAATGCACTTATATTTTACATCATTATCCTTAAGCCTTTCAGTATATAAATTAAAAAGTGGATACGATTAGGAAAAAGTTACCTATCGAATATATTCATTGTTTTGAATATTATCGAAGATGGAATGTAACAGGCTAGCAATTCGCGGGACGGTGGGATAAGGGAAAAGAGATAGAGGAAGCGACGATGTCAGAGAAGAAGTGAGCGAGATCGGTAATGAGGAAGACACGCGAATGGATACGGTAGCTCTGCGTATGGCGCGCGATGGAACAGAGACCGGTTGTTAAAGAGAGGTGGCGAGAGGTGAGGAAGCGAGAGAGCGCGACGGGGGTGAGCGAGAGGGCGACTACGGCGGGAGGTAGAAAAAGAGGAAACGCGTGCGGAACTCTAGATGGAACGCGAGTCGACCGAGCGCGCGGAGGAGAGAGAGAAAGAGAGACGGAGAAACAAGAGCGGTAAAAATGAATCGATAGGCGGAGTTTTTCATGACGCGCCGCTAGAGGCGCTCCAGGTGGGGAGCGCAATAGGCGGAGTCAGGCTGATTTAGGGCCGCCATTTTGTGACAATGGACGAGAGGGGGTATGCCTATCTGATTGGCTGATCTACGGACTTCTCTCGTCCTGGACAAGCTTCTACAGATTGTTCGGTTGTACACACCGCCGGGCACTCCAGCCACCCGGCAACCCGGCAACGTCGCCACCCCACACCGTGGCTTCTCCTACCCTGCTGCCGATGGTGACGTGCTCTCTCTCTCTCTCTCCTCCCGCTTCCCCGCTGTTTCATCGCGCGCACAAACACGAACGAATATATATATATATATATATATATATATA